GCCGTGGTTCCATCCGGAGTGCTGCGGCGCCAACTTTATATTGCTCAAATTCTGCAAAGATAACGTAAGTATTAGTGACCCCTAACACGGGGGGTTCCAATACTATATCTGTTACGACCCCCTGGCGGGTTATAAACAACTAGCTGTTCCTATGACATTATAAATGTTTTATATTTTTTGTTTACATTTGTCTAATTCTCAATTCCAAATGTCAAAATTACCGTTATAATAATAAACTTGCTTCCTTAATGTTGGCTTGTTGTTTATGGTCCCTTTCCCACATGAAGGTTTTATCCAATTTATTTACCCACTAAGTTTAATAATGTGAAAATATATAGCCTAAAGCGTGTGGTAAGTGTAGGGCTTTTTATTAAAGAAGTAATTATACAACAATATGGTGTGTTTGCTGACATCTTACGTCACAAAGCAGTGTGCTTACGCTTTATTACATTTGTATAGATTGGTTACCTTAAGTGAGCCAGCTTTGATCTTGGACACGTCGACGGTGTATGGTCTGGGGGACTTCCAGTCGCCGTCGCCCCCCGCGCCCCCCGCGCCCGCCGCGCCGCGCCCCCCGCCGCGCCCGCCGCGCCGCCCCCCGCCCTCCTCCTCGCGCCGCCCGTAGCCCCCCGACAGCGGCATAGAGTTCATCAACTGGAACACATTCACTTAGCAATAGTAAAAAATTTAAGAAATACTAGCTGCTAATTGCGACTCCCTCCGCGTGAAATTAAAGAAATAATCAAATAAATTAAAAAGGCTATGTTATTCACAGGTAAATTACCTTTCTAACGGTGAAAGAATTTTTAAAATCGACTCGTAGATTTATTATTTATTTCAATACATACAAAAATACAAATCTATCTACTTTATATTAGTATAGATATGGACTGGACATAGTGAACAACATTTTTACACCGGTAACTTCTCTAAAAGGTACTACGAGTATGTTACTCAAGTTTTGTGCCACCTCATGTATTATGTCATAAAAAAAAATACAAAATTATAATAAGCTTCATTTTCTATTAAAAATAAACCAAACAGTGTCTAAAAATAAACAAATTAAATTCTATGCAACCATTATATGAACATGTGGTTTTCAGTACATATCATAGTGAGGTCGTGTGCAAAATGTTTAAGTGAAGTGTCAACTTCTAGATGTTTTTAAATCTCTTTGTAGTATGTGGAAGGTTGTATGAAGGAGTGTGTGAGTGTGTGTGGGGGTGTGAGGGGGGTGTGGGGGGTGTTACCTCTATATTCCTGTGGTGCAGGTCAGCCTCGCGCTGTATGCGGTCCATGGTGGTGGGCTGCGGGGCTGCGGCGGCGGCGGCGCGCGGCGCCCAGCGGCGGCGGCGCAGCGCTATCACGTCCTGCAGCATGAAGCGGACGCGGCTGCTCAGCGACCCCCCGGACCCACCAGACCCCCCGCGCCGCTCCGCGATCGCCTGCATGCGTTTGAACACCGCGTCCAAAGGCTCCTTCACTTCACTCTCCACCTGCAATACAATTTGAACAGTGCTAGAGCCTGCTTTGAGTTCTTACTATAACCCCTCCCCCTTATCACGCCCACACAACGCGTGAAGTGGAAGCAATTCCACGTAAAATCTCATGAGTGTGGTACCGAAAGCCTTATTTTAGACCCTTCCCATCCCTTTCTTAAGAGGAAACAATGGGCAGGAAAAGAAGATTTGACGACGGAGAGGGATAGGAAGAGGGAAATATTATGTTTATGTGTGTCTCCTCTTCTGTCTATTAAGGGAAACGCAATTGCAATTATAGATGTCTGAGCAGCGGTCGCTTCGCCATTTCGGCGAATTCAGATAGCCGCTTATCGTTTGCCTCGCATAATATAAAAATAACATAATCTGGTGACTTATGGTAGTTATGGTAAATTCTGGTGAGATGTGGTGATATGTTGGTAATTGACCTGTTCCCCGATGGTGGTGAGCAGCTTGCAGAGGCACTCCAGCTTCTCCTCCTCCTGCTTGTCGAGCAGGTAGTTCATACAGAACACCATTATCTTCGCCGTCAACATCTTCAGCTTGTACAGCTCGCCTGCAATCAAATACAATCGTACTAGCTTTCGCCCGCGACTCCGTCCGTGCGAATAAAAAAAACAAAGCATGTAGCCTATGGTCTTCCAGACTATCCTCTATGCCTTTTATCAAGATTCCTTCAGCAATTTAGGCTACAAACTCTAACAAACAAACATCTAAATTTTCGCAATTATAATATTAGTAAGATAAAAACTATCAAAACTTATGTTTCAAGTTATAATACCAACTTACCGATAAATCTGACATTCCCCACAGATCTCATCCGCACTTTTCTGTTCTCTTCCTCTAGAAGCAATTGGAGTTCCTTCTTTTTGACCTGGAATAACAAATTTATTATTTTAGATAACCAATGCAAGTATAAATAAATGGTTCCATTTATTTCAGGTGTGTGTGTGTGTTTTTATATAGGGGAAAATGCTTTATAGCAGCGTCAGACATGAGAACTAGCCTGGTGTGTCGGGCTTAGGGTCATTAATCTGTGTGTGTGTATGTGTGTTTAGTTTGTGTGTGCATGTGTTTGTTTATATGTTTTGCGTGTGTGCTCACCATGTCCGTGCAGTCGGCGAGCTCCGTCTCCAGACGCAGCACGTTGTCGTCCACCTTGTCGGTGACGAACTGGTTCTGACACTTGCTGATGATGAGCAGCCTGAAGTTGACGTACTGCTCGGGGCTGCCAGACTCCGACGGCACCTGCGAAACCACAGACGGTATAGTCTTTTTTTATATTATAAAGTGGTAAACTAGTAAGCGGTCATTTGAAATCGCTGAAATGGCGAAGCTACTGCTGCATAGTCATCCGCAATTGCAGATGAGTTGCCTATCCTTAATCAATGGACAAGGAGACGGCTAAAGAGGATATTTCCCCCTCATATGCCTCCTCCGCCATCAAATCCACTTTCCCTTCCCATCCATTCTATTTAAGGAAATGGTGGAAAAGGTAATGGACTATTAGGCCTTCGGCACTACACAAATCAGAGAGAGAAAGGGTAAGATATATAGAGGGGGGAGATATAATTATTTAAAAGTGGTAGAGTCCGCTTTAACACCTTCGCACTGTAAGGCTCGTTTCCACACGTAAAGTGGGCAACGGCGGATCCAGGGGAGGAGGTCAAGGGGCTCATGACGACCCTGAGCTGGTTGGTCAAGAGCTTGACAAAATATATTTACATATTTTGTCAAGCTCTTGACTTGATTACGACTAT